GGGCCGGGGCTGGCCCTGGGGAACCTGTCTCCAAGAGCCAGGGAATGTTGGGAGTCCTCGCACCAAGTCGGGGTGCCAGGGGACCATGAGAGGGAGAGGGGGAGTCCGGCAGCGCCCCGTCCGGGTGCCAGCCTGCAGTGGGGTAAAACTTCCCAGGCAGATGACCCATCCTGCTTCCCCGCGCAGGCGCAGGCCAGGGCCGGGCCCCAGGGCGGCCCCTCCGCGGGGAGGGGAGGAGGCGCGAGGCCAAGGTGCTGGAGGGGGGGGGGGGCTTGGCTCTCATCTTGGCTGTCAGGCCCCGGAGAGGCCCTGGCTCTGTCCTGGGGGCTGCGTCCAACTGCAGCCAGAAGGCCCTGGAGCCTGCCGGAGACGGCTGGGTCCCGCCGGCAGCCAGGCCACCAGGAAGCCTACTGGCCACAGATCCCCCCCTCTCAGGACGCAGCCAGCAATATCCCACAGGAGACAAGGCCTGGTTTGCATAGTCTGCACGTTTAATCACTTTAAAACCTTTAACATTATCTCGTGTCCATTAAATAGAACCAACAATGCTGGGCCTGTTTAAATTACAAGGAAAAAAAAATCACCATGTGCCAACCCAGTATCTTACAAAACCAGCCAGGCCGGCCACAAGGGCAGGGGTGGGGGTCGGGAGGGCCCCCTGCCCCCCCCCCGCAGGTGGACACCAGGGAGCTAGGGGAAGCGTAGGGGGCTCCCAGGTGGGAGGGGACTGATTGTCCTACTGGGAGGGGTGCAAAAGGCACGTCAGAAGAGGGGGTCGGGGCGTGATAGGCCAGTGCTTCCCCAGCAGGGCACAGTGATAGCGGGGCGCGGGGCTCGGGGCACGCCTGCCCACCCCTGGCACTTGGAGAGCCAGCCCCCCTAAGCCCTTGGCACAGCCCACGCGAAGCACAGGTCAGCCTACCCCCACCCAGACCCCCTTTCCCAGAGCCTCGCCGGCCTGCCTCTTCAGGACTTGGGCACTGCGGGTGCTCAGCCACCGGCACCGCCCAGCCTGAGGGCTGGGTGGCAGTGGGGGAGGGTGGCGGCGGGGGGAGGGAGGAGGCGGGTGGTCCAGCTGCTACCCCCGTTAAAAATACAAAAAAAAAAAAATCATCTAAAGTGAAATCATCACAAAGTGAAAATATATCCTCGAACAGCTCCTGAGATCCACAGGGGAAGCAGCATGGGGGAGGGGGCGGGGGGGGGCCCGGCAGGCCATGTCCCTCCCCACCACCCACCCAGGGGCTCCTGGGCTGTGAGTGCCAACAGCCCAGCCGCCCCGGGCTCAGAAAACAGGGGCTTGGGCCCAGGCAAGGGGAGGGTGCTCGGGGGCCGGGGGCTCGGCGCGGCCCGGCCAGCCAGGCGGCCCGGGGGAGCGGCAGCCTGAAGCCCAGCACCTGCCTTGCCTTGGTCCCTTCCTCCGCTCAAGGCTTCTGCCACTGGAGGCTCACCGGGGTGCAAGCCAGGGCCAGGTGGGGGAGCCCTTGGGAGGCGCCTCCTCCTGCCCTGGACGGGGCCATTATTGCTTTAGAGGGGCAAGGAGGGGCGGGAGCTGCAGCCTGGGTCCCAAGCCCCAGGGAGGGCCGCCCCTCGGCACCGCAGGCCTCCGTGGGGCCTCAGCCTTGGAAAGCTGCCCTAAAGGTTTCACTCCTCTGTCCCCGTGGCGGGCGCGGGGGGGGGGGGGGCGAGCTCCCTGCCCCCTGCTGGCTCAGGCTCCGGGTGGGCCCGGGGCTGGGGTGGGAAGCAGTCTCAGCTCCCCCAGCCACGTCCGAACCCAGTCCCAAGATAGAAAAATACTTTGGTGAGTTAAAAAGTGCCCGAGGCGGGGAGCGCGGGGCGCGTCACAGGGCGTCACAGGGCGCTCTGGTCTCTGATGAAGGCGGTCCTCTCGCCCCGGCCCTCGTCCTCCTCCGAGTCGGAGGGACCCTCCTCCTGCCAGGCGTCGGGCGGCAGCCCCTTGTAGGAGATGAGGCCGCGGTCCATGGTGTACACCTTCACCCCCCGGAAGCTGAAGCCAGAGCGCAGCTGCAGGACGAGGAAGACCGTGACGAAGACCAGCACGATGAAGGCGCAGCTCAGGCCGGCCACCACCTCGGGCAGGTGGGAGGGCAGCAGCCCGGCCTGCAGCCGTGGCTCGGGCTCGGCCTCCGCCAGCCGCCCGGGAGGCTGCGGCCGGGACTCGCGGCTGCTCTGGCTCTGCCGAGAGCACGTCCGCTCCACGGGGTCCAGGCTGGCGTGGCGTGGGCAGCTGAGGCAGTCCGTGGGCGCGGGGCCCTGGCAGGTGGCACACGAGGCGTGGCAGGGGACGCAGACGCTGGCCCGCATGGTCTCCACGTCGTTCTCGGTGCTGTAGTGCGTGTCGAGGACTTGGGACGTGAAGCCGGCGGGACAGAGCTGGACACAGCTCTTCTGGTGCAGCGAGAAGCCTTCCTCACACACTGCGGGGGGAGGGAGGGCAAGGGGGGGCAGCGTCAGGCGGACGTGGCCTTGGGCTGGGGACCTGCAGTCCCCAGGCACGTGCCTCTCCCTGCCCCTCCCCCCCCGCCACAGCAGCTCCCACGACTGACCCACGCAGGCCTGGCTGGACGTGAGCGTCTTGCAGCCGCTGCTCTCCGGGGCTGCGGGGAGCCCCTCGGGGGCGGTACCGTACAGCACGAGCGTGAACTTGGTCAGCGTCCCTGTGGCAGGGGACGAGGTGGTGAGTTTGGGAACCCCCTCCCGCCCCCAGCACCGGCCGCACCGGACAGGCTGGCCCCGCGGCCCCGCTACCGTAGTTGCTTGCGTCGCTGGTGTTCTCGATCTCCAGGACCCACTCGCCGGAGGGGTCCTCATCCCAGGAGTGGGTCGTCATGAACGCCCAGTCATTGAAGCCGTCCGCAGAGTAGTCGTGCGGCCTAGAGGGGGCGTTGCACCCAGATGGGGCTCGCGTGGCTGCGGACCTGGGCACCTCCCCCAGGCCACACCAACCACGGGCTAGACGTGCGCGGGGCTCTCCTGTTCCCCTACGAACGGACATCCTTAGCCAGGATTCCAGGGGGGCACCGACACTTCCCAAAGGGGCAGCTTGCTAGCCTGTTACACAGGCAGGAACCACAACTACAGGACACGGGATGTCCCACGGGACAACGCGGACACGGGATGTCCCACGGGACAACGCGACTCCTCGGCCAACGCTGCAGCCCCTCGCCGACCAAGGTGTGCTGACTGCCGGGCCCATGGGAGAGGAACGCAGGACGCAGGAGGACGGGGCGGGCACTCACCTGGCGGCCAGCAGGGTGGAGCGGGTGCCCATGGGGCTGACGAGGTGGATGGCCAGGTCCCCGCGGCGGTTGTAGGACAGGGTGAGCCGAGCCTGCGCGTGTTCCAGCCGGGTGACGTGGCTGGGCTCGCCCAGGCACGCGCTCACGCTCTTGCGCACCTCCAGCCGTTTGCCGATGTCCCTGGGCAGAGGACGCCGTGAGGCCCCTCCACCGGCGCGCGAGGCTGGCCCCACCACCCACCCAGGGCCCAGGCCTTACTTGGGCTCCGTGAGGATGTCGATAACGCACTTCCGCTGGGGGGGTACCGTTGTCCAGTTCTGGGCCAGGGCCACCATGGCACCAGCGTCCAGCAACCCATAGCCGTACGAGTGGCTCACTGTGGGGGCAGGCAGGGAGGCAGGTCAGCGGAGTGCGGTGGCCGCCTGCCGGAACGCAGCCGAGACCCGGCCCCCTGGCCCTCACCTTGGCGGCCCACGCCGTTGGTGGCCCAGTCGTTGGCATTGAGGTGAGCTGGCTTCGAGGTCCGCACCACCAAGTGCTGCATGTCCCGCCAGGTGAGGTTCTTGCTGCAGAGGAAAACGGGAGAAGCCATGCTGAATGCTTCTAGAAGAGAGAAGCTGGAGACTAAAGGTGCTTAGAGAGCACTGGGCCGCGGCCAGAGGCTCGGCCTGGCGTCCTAGTGACTCAGGAGGCTGAGATCTGGGGATCACAGTTCAAAGCCAGCTGGGGCAGGAAAGTCCATGAAACTTTTTTTGATTGTGGAACCTGAACTCAGGGCTTGGGCATTGACCCTGAACTCTTTTGCTCAGAGCTAGTGCTCTACCACTTTGAGCTACAGCACCACTTCCGATTTTCTGGTGCTTAATTGGAGATAAGAGTCTCATGGAGGGGCTAGAAAGGTGGCTCAGTGGTAAAGCGCTTGCCTTGCATGCCTGAGGCCCTGGGTTCAATTCCTCAGCACCACATAAGCAAAAATAAAAAAAGCCGGAAGTGGTGCTGTGGCTCAAGTGGTAGAGTGCTAGCCTTGAACTGAAGAGCTGAGGGACAGAGCCCAGGCCCAGAGATCAGGCCCCATGACCAGACCTCCCCACACACACACAAAAAAAAAAAGTCTCATGGAGCCAGGTGCTGGTGGCTCTGTAATCCTAGCTACTCAGAAGGCTGAGATCTGAGGATCGAGGTTCAAAGCTAGCCCAGGCAGTAAAGTCCGTGAAACTCTTATCTCCAATAATCCACCAGAAAACCAGAAGTGACACTGTAGCTCAAGTGGTAGAGTGCCAGCCTTGAGCTGAAGAGCTGAGGGACAGCACTCAGACCCAAAGTTCAAGCCCCAAGACTGGAAAAAAAAAAAAAAAAAAGGTTTCATGGAGGCTGGGAATGTGGCTCAGTGGTAGAGTGCTCACCTAGCATGCTTGAGCCCTGGGTTTGATTCCTCAGCACCACATACACAGAAAAAGCTACAAGTGGCACTGTGGCTCAAGTAGTGGAGTACTAGCCTTGAGCAAAAAAAACTCAGGAACAGTGCCCAGGCCCTGAGTTTGAGCCCCAGGGGGGAAAAAAAATTCTAACAGACTTTCCTGCCCAGAAAAGAGGGAGCTGTGGCTCAAGAGGCAGTGCACTAGCCTTGAGCAAAAGGGGTCGGAGATAGCACCCAGGCCGGGAGCTCAAGCCCTGGGACCAGCACATGCGCACACACAGCACTGGGGTGACATGACCGGGCTTACTTGGCCTCCAGGGTGAGAGCGATGATCCCAGCTGCCAAGGGGGCCGAGGCCGAGGTGCCTGTGTGAGACTCGGTGCACTTCTGCCGCAGGTCGGTGGTCACCTGCAGGGACAGCAGGGTTGGGGTCTGTGGCGGGTGGAAGGGCCTGAGAGGCCTGACCCACAGATCCTGGACACTGCCAGAATCAGGATGCTCGCCTCTTCCTCCTGGGGCTCTGCTAGCTGGCTCACCCACCTTCGTTTCTCAAGGAATAGATGGGGGCTGGGAGGTGAGGGGCTCAGCGCAGGGTTTTGGGTGACGCCTGTGCTACTCGAGGCCTGCCTGGCCGGTCTCACAGACAGTGGGACTTCAGAGCGGAGGGCGCCTGGAGGGGGCCTGAGGGCCTGGCAGCCCCACCCAGCCTGGCCCGCCCAGCCCAGCCCAGCCCAGCCCCGCCCAGCCCAGCCCCGCCCAGCCTGGCCCGCCCCGCCCAGCCCCGCCCAGCCCAGCCCCAGGCACCACTCACGATCTGCTTCTCGTTCTGGTTGCCGCTGCTGTAGGTGGTGGCCAGCGTGGATGAGCAGGCCTCGCTGTACCAGGGCACGTTGCCGAGCTGCGTGGCGCTGCTGATGGACAGCGTGTAGATGCTGTTGGTGTAGCCGTCACAGTTGCAGCTGTCATGCTCACGGCCCCCATTCCCCGAGGCCCAGACAAAGATGGAGCCCAGCCCCCCGCGGCCCTGCAGACAAAGTGGGCTGGGGTCACTGGGGATTCGGCCTTGGGGGAGGACTGGTGGCAGAGGCTGCTGCTGACTGGGGAGGCTGGAGTCTCACTCTTGGGGGCTCCGTGCCCCCCTCCCACCCCCCCTGGAAAAGCCTGGGGGTCATTATGCACGCTGACATAATGCAGTGGAGTGCACCAAAGTGCCAGAGTGGCTATGGACAGCTTTTCCTTCTCCATCTCTCGCTTTTAATGGACTATTACTACTGTTGCTATTTCTCTTGTGATGCTGGGGTCAAAGCTAGGGCCTCAGACTGGGGACAGGCTCAAGAAGCAGAGCACCTAACCAGCACACCCCAGGCTCTGGTTCAAACTCCAGCACTGAAAAAAACGAAGAGCCATGTCTGTGCATGCAGAGCACACGCTACCACTGAGCTAACCCAGCCTCCGAAGTGCTTGAACAAATGCACGACACTAAGCACCTCATGTAAGTGGAGAGCTTCGGGGAGGACCGCATTCAGCCAGCCCCGGAGGCGGGGCGGGACCCCGTTCACCTGGCTGACCCCCCCCCCCAAGAAGGCCTCCTCGGCCAGGCGGGCCGGCCCGTCCCGGAGGCGGGGGCGGGACCCCGTTCACCTGGCTGACCCCCCCCCAAGAAGGCCTCCTCGGCCAGGCGGGCCGGCCCGTCCCGGAGGCGGGGGCGGGACCCCGTTCACCTGGCTGACCCCCCGGAGGAAGGCCTCCTCGGCCAGGCGGGCCGGCCCGTCCACTGTCTTGCCGTCGTCCTCGGGTCCCCAGCTAGCGCTGTAGATGTGGATGTGGCCGGGGTTCAGGCCCAGCGAGCGGGCCTCCACCGCGTCCGTCACCTCGCCGTCCAGCATGCGTACCCCTGGACAGAGGGTGTGGGAAGGAGGGGCTGCAACAGCTCAGTTGCCAGGGGGCTGGGGGAGGGGGGCCCCCCAGTCCTAGGAAGTGCCTGCCTCCAAGAGGGGAAAGGAGACACCACCCCCTGCCCCAACCTGGCACCTGAGGCCCCTGCGGCAGTCAGAGGACTCCTGCCGAGAGGACGCTTACTCCCCACCCGTCAGCAGCCCCGCCGAGTCCCGCAGCTCTCAGAGTTGCTAGGAACCCAAGAGAATATCCACACAGCCTGAAGGATCCACGGTGGGAAAGTGCCAGGCCATGGCCAGAAGGGAAGCGGGCGGAGAAAATCCCACCAAGGGGCAGTCTCACCTCCAAAAGAGGGCAAGTGGGCGGGGCCAAGGCGTCACTCAGCTCCAATAAGAGCAGAAGGGCGGGGCCACTCACCTCCAATGCGGGCGTTGTAGGCCACGCCCACACCACAGACTCCGTTGTTGGCCACAGCAGCCACCTCACCAGCACAGCGCGTCCCATGCCTGCCGCGGCCAAGAGCACAGTGTTCGCGGGGTGTGATCCGCAGAGCGCCCACCCACCAGAGCTCAGGCTCAGCCCTGCCTCCACGGGGGAGGGGGGGGCAGGGACGAGAAGGCCCGCTCTTGCCTGTTGTCATTCATCTGTGTGTAGCGGGGCTGGGGGTCAGGGTCCTGGTCATTGACGTCAAAGCTGGCTCCCGGATCCTGGGAAGAACAAGGCGAGGTGTCGGGAGAGGCCTGATGTGTCAGCAGAGCAGGGCAGCCCCCCCCCCGCCGGTGTGCCCCCCACGCCTCCTCACGTAATTGCCCGCCAGGTCTGGGTGGTTCTTCTCGATGCCATCGTCCAGGATGGAGACGACGACGCCATGTCCCGTGAAGCCCTGCGCCCAGGCCTCCCTCACGTTCAGGTCCCGCTGAGTGACACCGGACTGCAGACACACCCCGTCCCGTGACTTACAGGGTGGAGCCAGGCGGGCAAACACCAAGCATTCCCTCGCCACCCCAAAACGCTGTCCCCCGCCCTGCTGCTGAGAGGCCTGTGCTGGCGGGTGAGCCTCGGGGGAAGTGGGAGGGACTCCGGAGGGCAAGGTCAGGCTGGGCAGGAGGGGCAGGTGAGGGCAGGCCAGCCCGCCTCAGGACCTGGGGGGAGGAGGGGGCTGCTGGGAGCAGGGCCCCAGACACTGCGTACCAGGTACCACTGCTGGGGGAACTTGGGGTCCGTCGGCTCCTGGTATACATCCCGTTTGGTCCTTCTCTTCGCCACCTGCTGCTCCAGCCAGTGTACCTGGGAGGAAGAGGAAGGCACGCAGGTGGGGTCTGGCTCCTGAGAACAGTGGGGAGGGGAGGCTGGCAGCAGGGAGGGGCTGGCCGTTCGCACCTGAGGCTCCCTCTTCAGCCGGCTGTGCCACAGGTGGTGGGGGGACAGGGAGCGCTTCGTCACCGCTCGATGCCAGAAGTGGTAATAGTCGCCGAAGATCTGCAGGGGAGGGGAGAGGTGGGCTTTCCCTCTGCCAGTCTCAGGGGAGGCGGGGTGGGTGACCAGAGGCGGCGGAGGGAGGGGAGATGGGGAGAGCTTTGCATGCTGCCAACGACCCAGAGAGGCCATGCAGAGGACAGGGCTGCCCTCGCTGAGCGGTGCCGGGGTCTACGCAGCTATGCTAAGGAACCCACAGGGGGCACAAGCCAGGGCTCCCAATGCACTGGCCACCCAGATCCGGTCCTCCCGATGCCCTGGAGAGTTCCTGCTCCCTGGTGCCCCGATGCCTAACCGCCCGGCCCACCCCTGGGCAACGTCCTATGCCAGACGGGCAGGCCAGGCGGGAACACCTACCTGGCCCAGGTTGTGAAACCCATGCTTTCGTGCCAAGCTGTCGGCCACCGCCGGGCCCCCGGGGATGTGCACAGCCCACGTGTTGGTGAAGACCTTGTGGCCACGGGCGTCAGCCACCAGCAGGACCAAGGCTGCTGCTGCCACCCAGAGCAACCAGGGCCTCAGCTCCATGGGGGGGAGGTGGTCTCCTCCGCCTGCTCACAGAACCTCCTTCCCGCGTCTCTGCCTGCTCACAGCGCCTCTGATCCCCCGTGTTTGCTCGCTGCCTGGGACCCGGGGCTGGCTGGCGGGGGCATGGGGCCGGGGTGGGCAGGGCCGGGGGACAGGAGGAGGACTGCTGGCTCTGAGAAACAAGAGGACAGAGTCAGTCCCACCAGGCCCTGCAAGGGTGCCCTCGAGCCCACCCAGAAAGGGGCCGGGAGAGAGGGACGAACACACCAGAATGCTCCCTAGAAGATGGCTGGACCAAAGCATGAGCCCCAACCTCCTCCCAGCCTCCGTCCACCAAGAGAACAAGCCCAACACAGGAAGCGTGGCGGCTCGACTTGCTCCAAATCACAGACGACAAATAAAAGCTCACCACAATCAAGGGAAGAAAGCTCCATTACAAAGCACTATGTACACATGATCCCATTCTGTTCTTAAAAACTATTTATACCTATGTATTTATACATAGCCCAGAACACAATCTGGAAGGGCGCCCGCTAACGTGGCAACAATGGTTCTCTCAAGATGGCAAGACCCACGAGGGCTTCTCCACAACACCTAGGCATGTTTTATAAAAGTGTAAAATATTGGGTTTTAAAGCCTTTTCTTTTTTTTTGTAATGAACGAGGCCTATCCAACTCTGTAGGGTCTCCTAGTTCCACAGAGTCAGCCATAGTGACCTGAAAAGACTCCCAGGCTGCAGAGAAGTGGGCTAGGCCTGGGGGTCGGGCTCTGAGCCCTGGGGCTTACCGAGGCCTCACCCCGCCCCAGGGCTGGGCAGCCAGGGGTAAAGTCAGCGCTTCCTGGGGTGCCCGCAGCACACCGGCCTGGTCGAGGCCCCTACCTTGCGTAATGTGAGCCGGGCAGCCAGGCCAAACACAGGCTGGCCAGCCAGGAGCGCCCAGGTGAGCTGAATCAATAGTCCACGGGTTGTTTTTTCCTCCCTCAGTAAACAGACAGTGGGACCGCCCCACCGAGGGCCCGACTAGCCAGAGACCCAGCACTAAGGAGGGCAGCAGTGGGCGAGGTCTCAGGGGGCCGCGGGGTACCCCGTCTTGCGCCAGGCTCCCTGAACCTCCTCCCTGCTGCAGGGTGCTGCCATCCCCATGGCCCAGTCCAAAGGAGGTTCCGCCGGACGGTGAGATGGAGGAAGCACCCAGAGGCCTGGAGACTGGGGGGGGGGATGCCCCTCCAGGTCACACCCTGTAAGCAGCCAGGCGACTCCACACACGGCTCAGAGTATTTTCAGTTTACACCAAAATAACCTGACAGCTGACAGTAGAAGACAAGCGTAGAGCAGTGCGTCCACACCCCTGCAGGGCAGAGTCCACTGCGGCAGGCCTGGGGCCACAGCCCCACCTCACCTAGGACAGATAAAGCCAGCCCGGCTCAAGCTAGACAGCAGATACCCCAGCCCCAGGGGGAAAGGGACCCCATGTTCCCAGTTAAGAACTCACAGGGGTGGAGCGCTGGCGGCTCACGCCTGTAATCATCCTAGCCACTCAGGTGGCCGAGATCTGATGATCAGGGTTTGAAGTTAGCTCAGGCAGTAAAGTCTGTGTGACTCTTCTCCCAGTTAACCACCAAAAAGCCAGACGTGGAGCTGTAGCTCAAGTGATAGAGCGCCAGCCTTGAGTGAAAAAGCTCAGTGAAAGCGTGAGGCCCTGAGTTCAAGCCCCGACACAGAACAACCACAACACGCAGCCTAGGGAGCAGAGCCACGAGCGAACAGGCCCTATTTCACACTTCTTTCCACACAGCTACCTCTACTCCAGATGCCAGGCCAGACACCCCTCTGACCACAGTACCGAGAACCCCAAGGAAGCCCTCCTAACCAGTGCCGGGGTCCTCTGGGCCTAGCCCAGGTTCCAACACGCAGCGATGGAGCCGCAGCTGCTGGCTGTTAAGTAGGAGGATGGCCAACCAACTATCTAGTGCAGCACCCCGGAAGAAAGATCCACAGCCCCCCACTCCCCAGGAGAGCAGGCCTGCTGCCTTCCATGCAGGGTCTGAGCTCGGCCAGCCCTCCCAGCTCTGAGGGGAAGCCCCCAGCCAGATCAGCCTCACCCTCCCAGATAGAGGGGAGATAACCCTCAACCCCCAAAAAGGGGCAGGAGCTGAGCACAATGAATGAACAGGCTTCTCCCCACCCCCAGCCCAGACTCTGACTCACCCTCTGAGTCCTAGTGGCCTCAAACCAGGAGCTTGTGTAAGTCTAGCTTCTCGAGATCTGTCTCGCCAGGCTCTGGGCTCCGGTTCTTCCCGGTAAAGCCCCAGAGCCTCCGGGCACGGCCGGCTAGCCGAGGCTGGGCATGGCGACCTGGCTGGGCACAGCTACACAGCAAGTGGCAGGACCTCGGGGAGGTCCAGCCAGCCTGCGCCTCCAGCCCGGACCCCCTGCCGGGGCACTGCCCCCCAAACCGGCCTCCTCTACCGCCGGCTGCCCTGGGGTCCTCTTTCTGGGCCTCAGTTTCCTCGGTGGTTGAAAGCAGTTGGACCAGGGGCTGGCAAACTTTTTTTTTGAGCCTCAGAATTCTCTTTTAATGAAACAATAAACAACTTCAGGTCTCACGTGGAGGCGCCGCAAAGGCCGAGCGGACCCAGGCTGTCAGGGGCCCGGCGGGGTTGGCCCCTGACCGGGGCTGCTCGACCTGCGCTAGGCCCCG